TTCTCTTATGACTTGTAGTACACTAACCAATTCATCTTCATTCAAGTGTCTTAAATTCAAAGTTTAGATTACCTGAGCAATCCTTTGAGCGTTATCTTTATTAAGGCTTTTGTTTGAATTATCTGTTTTGGATGAGCGAGGGCCAGGGGGTTTTACATCTACACTTTCCAACTCAATTGCAGGTATAGTGAGGGTGACATGGTCAAATGTAGAATTTATTACGAAGAGCTTTACTAAATTATTCCGTTGGCTTGCCAGAACTTCACCTGCAAAAATACCATGGCCGGCATCAATCTGCCTAACGTAACCTGTTTTCAGCTTACTAAAGGTGGAAACAGCGATTAAGATTTTGGTCCGTAGAGGTAGGTCATGCGAGGAAAAAGTACAAGAAAGAGACTCCTCTTCAAACTCTACCACACTTGGTAAATTTTCTCTGAATGTTAAGGTAGCCTTTTGTTTCTGCAGGAATGAAACGCCTAGGATTCCAGTTTGGCTAATGGAAAAATTATCTGGCACGACTTGAAACTGGATGGGAATTTCACGGATCGGAATAATAATTTCTCCCAGTGTGCGAATCATTCCTGATCCTATACCGGTAAGATTGTGGATTATGCTTGTGTTGATTGGCAAACCTGGAGTTAATTCTCTTTGTTTCATTAAATTTAGCAGGGATCCGGCGTCTATCAAAAGGTTGGCAGAACCCTGATTAAAACTACTATTTCCAAGAGGGATAACAGGTGACCGTCCAACGGCGTACCGTTCCGTGGAACGGCTATCGAGTTTAAATGTTGGTTAGTAGGAACAGCGGTAACTTGAGTCTGCGTTTTGTTACGTTTGTCATGAGCACTGTTCCTATAACACCGAATTTCTGTTTGTCCCGATTTCACGCAATACCTACACCTAAGCTGATTTCGAACTGGCTCAATATACTTCCTTCTAAAAGGGCAATCGTTACGCAAATGTCCAACCATGTCACAATTAAAACACCTACGTTCAGTAGAATTTACAGTAAAAATCTTTTACCTGTCTGCAGAGATTTTTGGGTCCATCTGCACATTCTTATGCCGCAGCTGATGTTCTAGCTTTGAGACCAATTTGATAGCCACTTCCAAATTTGTGATGTTGTCCTTCGAAATTAGCAACATAATCATGTCGTTATGTAATCCTCTCATGAATCCATCGATTGCCTCCTCAACTTATAAGATTTTGATTCCTACTGATTGTTCTGCTGTGAATCTTCCTTGCGCTGCCTCAATTCCACGATCTAAATTTCGTATACGCGTGTCCCAAACTCCTCAATTGTTTCATGATCCTTTCGTTTTATCCTTTTCAGTTCATCGTGAACAATTTTTACGCTATAATTTTGCTCATACGCTCTTTTCATCAAACTAATTAGGTCCTCCACAGTTTCAGGTTCACTACTCCTAGCTATTTGACTATAGTCGCGTGTCTGTATACGATTCTTTATTAAGGCTAATAAATAAAATTTGTCCTCTGGTCTAACAATTGAGTCCGCGAGTCTACATTTAGTGATAAAGTTACTGACTGAGATGGGTTTTCCATCAAAATACGGGATGAAGCTAGCGACTAATGTGAAAGGTGTACGCGATGTCTTAGGAAGTTCGAATCCCGCTGAAGGTTCACCTTCAAACACTGCGTTATTAAGCACACTGTTATTTGAGGAGGTAGATCCATTATCGGGCATGGACACATTGGGTATAAAAGACGAAGCTTGAACCGGAACAATTTCTAAATTATTTGGTTGTCCAGAAGTAGATGGGACTGGGTCAATTCTGGGTGTTCCTACTAATTCTTCAACTATAAAAACATTACCACCACGCAAAGCGGGCTTACAATTTTTCCTCGTTTTCTTATACTTATTCGCAAAAGGCGGCATTTTAATAGGAAGGAACTGAACAAAGAAGATAAATTAACAAAGAAACTTACAGGCGATGCGCTGAGCCTTCGCGAAAAATTTTAAGGGTGTGTTTAAAACACAATATAACTACTGTTGGAAAAATATACTCTTAGTGCTCCGTAGGAGGATGATCTTTCCTTTTGTCTTCCTTTGCTCTTCTAACGGCGTTGTACAGCGGCCGTCGTCCACCAAGCGCCATCCAGCAAGCGTCGTCTAGCAGTCGTTGTCCAGCAGGCGTCGTCCAGCAGGCATCGTCCAGCAGTCGTCGTCCAGCAGGCGTTGTCAATTTTGTGTTCATGATTCCAAGGAATAGCTTGCACGCCCGTTGGAATCACCCGTCTCCGGTATTCACCTTCACCTCATGGGGAAACCGCGCGAAAACCCAAGAGAGAGAGGAAGGCACAATTGTATAAATTCTCGCGGATATTTCTTCTATCCCACCGCTGTCACCAATTTGTTACGTGGGTTCTTGGGGAATTTGAGGGAATTGTCGCCCATGGAGCACTGAAGTACTCTGCTCACGATGATTTTAGGAAGTTAAATGAATAAGGAAAACTAGCCGTTGAAACTTTTAATAAATTAATAAATAATTTAATAAATAACTTGATTGGAACAATAATTAACGAAATGTTTAACTATAACTTTATTACGAGATAATACGTCTGAGCTCTTTGAACGAGGAAAATTGAATTGAATTTGTTCAGGCGTCGTTGATTTTTATATATAATGTTTACATGCTTTTGTTAAAACAATCGTCACCAATTAAATTAAAGATTTTATATAAAATTATTTGAGGATGAATTTGATTGGTTCTCAACATAATACATGTTTATTTTAAAGCGAGTATTTTACACCTCAGCAATGTTTCTTTGCGTAGCAACGAGGATCAACATTTATTTAAATGAGCAGTTGCAAATAGTAGTTAATGACAGTTTATGATATTTTTGTTCACTATACAATTTATAATCGACGCGTTTTAGAATTCACATTCCGAAGAGCCACGTGAGCTCCATGAGTCGCAGAACGTGGCGTCACAATTCTCAAAGCAGCGCAGCTAGCGACATTATTAGGCACTACACATTTCAAATTGACGTAGTGTCACAGCTCATGTTTCAAAAATAAAAAATTATGTTTTGAAATTTTGTATTTCATTTCATGAAATTGATAGTAAACACAGTTTTTGATATCCTACATTGTGGTGGTAAAGAATTTTCGAAAAATATTACTTGTCTCAAAAGTTATTCCCACTAGGTTTAATTAAAAAAAAAAATGTGTTTCGAAAATTCTGTAAGATCCGAACTTAGATTACCCGCTTACGAAACAAACATCCTGTGCACTGGCTCACTGCCGATTGTTGAATAGTGCCTAAACTTCCAAAGTTTTACAGAAGTAATTTCAATTGTTTATAAAAAATGCGCATTGAAATGAAATATTTTACAGAATGTCATTTTTCGACTTCTAAATTCATCCCTTCAAATTTTATCAAAATCCTCGGGGGACAGGTATGTAGTCTCCTTGATAAGTGCTTTGCACATCAATATTTCTCAAATTTTTCATTTCGCTGAAAAGTTACAAAATGAAATTACAAAATAATTAAAAATAAAATGTAACACCGACGCACAGTGTTTCGATCAATGGACAAAAATCAGAAATTCAAAGTGTAAAATC